TTTTTTTTTTTTTTTTTTTTTTTTTTTTTTTTTTTTGGTATGGTCAAGACAGGAATTTCTTATACCAATACAAGCTTAGCTTCACAGTAGAAAATGGTGATCAATCCACTACTTCCTGGAGTGAAAAATGTGGAAATGGAAACTGACTCTTTCTTTTTAATTAATTTTATTGAGAAACAGCAATGAAACAGTTTCAAACTGATTAGTAGGACAGTTTCAATAATTAATATATTGCATATTGTTGTCTTCACAGTGGTTATTCACAGTACAAGATGCAGACATGATATCCTGTCCAAACACTATTAGTACAAATCTTTCTTCTCATGGAATTAAGAGAAAGTAGCTGTGTATCTATCTTAACTATTTTGTATATACAGATACAAAATGGTCCTTCTTTTGTATCCCCTTATTTTGTTTAGTTTTGTTAGAGACGGGTATTCCATTACCATTTACATATCATAGGTGCTTGAATTTAGCAAAATAATTCAATATAGTCCAGTAGTCCATAATATTAGTGGGTTATCCATAGGACTGGTGATGTCAGAAGTTGTTGACTTGAGCCTTTCACAGCTCAGCATATTAATATAGCTTTACTTTTCATACCTCGTTTTCATACTTTTCTGCTGGATTGTTAAGACCAACATAAAACAAGAAATGTATCTTTTGTATCTGATAAGTTCAGTCAAGTCCCCTCAGGGTTTATCTTGGCAACTGGTTATTATAGTACAAAAATTAATTGCTACTATAGATTAATTTCCCTTTAATATCCTCTGCTTTGCTTCACAGAAATGAGGTGCATGCCAATGGAGTAGGGAAAATTTCTCATTTCTGTGGTGCCAACTGTCTCTGCAAAAGGTGCCAACTGAGTGTCTATTTCACAGAAAGATAGAGGGATGGTCGTGGAGAATGCATAATTTCAGGCAGCCACAACAGTGAAGTGCCACATACTTTCCACAGCCAATGAAACAGCGACACTTGGATCTTAATTCTTTGTAATTTGGTTTGGTTTGGTGCACAGCATGGCTTCATTTAATATCTAGCAAATGGCTTTCAAGGTCTTTTTCAGTGTACACTCAGTCTTTCCTCAACCCTCCTTGCTTTCACCAGTCTTTCTTTGGCATGTTTCTTCTTCCTTTGAGTAGATAGTTTTTATTTGAAGTTTCCTAAAGAATTAGAAAGCTCTGCATTTGTGAGATGATCTAGAGAGCTTGTGACAACAAAAGTGAAGATTAAGCATTTTAGATAGGAACAGTGGGCTCTCTTTGGGTTATGTAAAAGAGTAAGTGAACCTATGGGCAATTACAAATCCAGGAGAGAGAAAACATCTGCCTGCCTGCCTGCCTGCCTGCCTGCCTGCCTGCCTGCCTACTTATCTTTTATTTACGTATGGAGACAAGACATTGCTCAGGTGCTAAGTTGTTCAGGCTCAGCTCTAGCTTTCAATCCTCCTCCTTCAACCTCCCCAAGTGCTGAGATTACAGGCATGCACCACGGTGACAAGCTTCAGGCATTTTTAAAACACTGGTCCCACTCAAAATAGGTTAGTTTATACATGTTATTTTATAAAGAGAAGAAAGGATCAATATTTTTCCTTCTTATGAACCAAGTGAGTGAATCACATTTATCAATAGTCATCTCATTGTTTACACCCCTCATTTATGTCTTGCTGGGAACCCAAAATAGTAGAAGAAAAAATATGAGCTTTTAGACAGAGGAATCTGGCAGAATGTGGATTCTTTTGTGTTGAAAGGGTTATCAAACCTTAATAATTAATCTCCAGTTATTTTGCTTGTAACTATGTTAATGGATGTATGATTTTAAAATATATCTGTAAATATTTTTGCCTGTATGTACTGTGTAATCATATATAATTGCATATGCATGCATAATGTATAATCATATATGTGATATATAATATCATATATGTTATAATACATAAGTTATATCATGTATAAGTTATACATAATGTGTAAACATATATATGTAATTGTTTTATGCACACAACAACACATAATACGCACACAAACATCTACATGCAAAGCACAGGGCTTGGCACAGACAACATAAATAGTAATTCATTCAATCGGCCACCTGAATCAAATGCCCATTTGCTTATCAAAGTCTTCCCCTTAAATCATGAGTATTGCTATTCCCAGTGTCATCTGGCCTCAAAATTATATATAGACTAAATGACAAGATGCAAGTGACCATTTCTTGCACTAAATTTCTAAGCTTATCACTTAACTTTATGAAACACTATTCCTGGTTATTAATTACAAAGTAAGCATAGACTATCACTACACATTATTTCATCAGTTACTATAAATCATCCCTCATTCTCTGTCAATTTAGAGAAAAATATTTTTCAGAAGATATGCATAGATCAAAACCAAGTACCTCGAATATAACACCAAATTATTCATACAGGTGCATCAGAAGTTTTTAAAGGACAACAATTTCCTAAAATGATTCTTTAAGAAAAAAATTATAAATTGGGAAAATACCTAATAATCTAAGAAGCCCATTTTGTTTGACATTAACAGATAAACTCAATTTTTACAAAAGGAAAAAAAGTCTTAGAATAATGAAATTATGAAATAAGATTTTGTGACTCATGTTTTAAAACCTGAGAAAAAATACTTTGGGAACAGTTTTCAAATAACAATGTTTTCAGTTATTAAGTTTAAAAAACATTTTTAACTATTTATTGCAATTTGATCCTTCAAAGTCACCTGAAATATGTCTATATTAAGAAGGACGGATGCTGACATATTAACACTTCTTTAAATAAATTTAAATCATGTTTTTCATTTTTATTGTTCCTATTAATATACTTAGAAGTCAGATAATGATGGAAAGCAGTTACCATAATAGTAATTTATTAGTTAATGTGAATTGTGTGCTTCCATTAACTATACTTTAAAAAAAAAGTCTTTGATTTCTTATAATATGGTTCGTCTGCATGACAGCATCTGGAAGTTGAGATTTTTACATGTCAAAAATCAATTCCAAGGAGCTGGGGAGATGGCTCAGTAGAATAAGCACTGTCCTGGCAAGTGCAAGGGCCTGAGTTCAATCCCCGGTTCTGCACCCTCCCCCCTTAAAAGAAAAAGAAATCAATTCCAGTGAATAAAATTCACTGTAAATACAAATATCTATCCATAAGCATATTAATGTCTCTTTATTTAATATTTATATTAACTTGTTACAGTTCCAATGAAAATAGGGCATTACAGTGCCCACTATTTATTTGGTAGATGCAGGAGACAATTTTAAATATTTCTTATTTCCTAAATCATTAACTTCATTAAGTTCTGTCACACCTAATGACCCTTCTGAACAGCAACATCTACAAAATAAAATCAATATACAATGAAGTTAAATGCGTAGTAGTTTATTTTCCCTGAGATGTCAGAAAATTGATGGCATCAGCATTAAACCCTAAAAATCTACTTTCTTCTTCCGGTTGTCTTTTTCTGTTTTTAAATTCTACGAAACTTTTCTTGCTGTGTACATTTAAAATGTACAGCATGGTATCTCAAGACCCATATATGTAGTGAAGTATAACAACCTTCTTTTAAATTGACTGCCAGCGTTTACTTATATTCAAATGTGATTAATTTAGTCAGTTGGGGCTTGGCAATCCCTCCAGTAATGGGAAGTTATCATTAACCCATATATCCTAAATGAAACAGCTTGTACCTTTATTGTCTGTCCAGATTCTTCTCATATCAGGTCTGTAAATGAAAAGCTAAGTCTCAAACAGAGGTACTAGAAGACACACAACGGGGCTACTGAGCCCTGGAACAAATCAAATTTTCAATAACTCTTAAGGTAATTTGAGGGCTTGTATTATATAATCCCTCAACAAACAATTATATGCTATAGGTGTTTCATCTATCAGTCAATTCCTGGCACTTTAATATACGCAACCCATAAAATAAATGAAAAGTAAATCAAGGCAGATGTTTGAATTTCCTGATTTATGAAGAAACCATAGAAAACTTCAAGCCTGGATTAATGTTAAATATTTATGTTGCTGGGTTTGGCAGCCAAAGTGGGTATGGAGATGACACATCCCAATGCTGTGCTCTATTCTCTCAGCTCATTCAGAAAATACCTTTCTGTCACGCAGTGGGAGCACACTGCCTGGTCAATCAACGCAGGTTATTTAGCGTTAACTGTCCATACATAAAAAGGGGAAATAGGCTCATCTTTCCTAAAAATAAAAAAATAAAAAAATAAAAAATAAACCCTAAACCAGATGCTTAGATAGAGGCACCTTTGTACCAGAGTCTTTTGCATTCTCAAGGAACAGATCCAAGAGTATTGCTGAAATGGGAAATCCAAACAGATACAATAAATGGGCACTTCTCGCCGAGAAGCAGGGGTTGGCGTCTCAGAGATGGAGTGAACCAGCTCTGTAGACACTGATAAAGAGCTGCCGTGGTTCTGGGTCGACCAAGTCTAAGTGTGATTTCTTTTTTTTCTGCTGATCTTGGGACGCTAAAAAGAATAAAAAGAGGACTTTGGGGAGTCCAACATCAGCTTCCTTTTTTCTTAATCACCCACCAAGGAGAATTCCCTCTATTTGAATGCCAGTGACGATTTCTCGACTCCGAACCCCACTGCTGTGCCTTAAATCCCTGAATTTACACGGCAGTCACAAACCTGGGAAGCCAAGGGGGCTGATCAATACCGCCAGGCGATTGCTCCCTCTCTGGACTTTCGTTTGCTCGTGTTTTCATTTCCAATAGACACTCTCATACCCGCCTTGCCGAGCCCGCAAAGCGAATGAGCAGCCCTATCCCTCATTCAGATCGCCCCAGTTACAACCACACGAAGCGTGGAGGACCCAACTCCGACCCTGGAAGAACTGAGCCGCCTCTCCGCGAGCGGCTGCAGAGACCTTCCCTTAGGTAGAGCAGTTAGTGCTCAGACCTAGGAGAAAAGCAGCACTCGGAATTCCTGCCGAGGTTACTCTTTCTGTATTGACCCACCTGCATGGGCGCTTCGTGTCTCATTGTAGGCAAATGTCCTTTCTCTCTGACTAGAATGGAGCTGGCCCGGGCGCTTGGTCAAGCGTGCAGCCGGCGTGTTGCACGCTCCACACTGCACTCTTGGGTTTCTCTAACCGGCTCCAACATCAGCACTGGAGCTGTCCGCTCGTAGCACTGCGCACGCGTACTGGCCGGGAGCCCCATGCGCTCCTGGGAGTCGTAGTTCATTCTTGCATGGCTTCCGTGAACACGGGGGCGCCAAGAACTACAACTCCCAGCAAGCACGCCGTGAACAGCTCGCTCCCCCTGGGGCCGCGGGCCGCGGAGCCTCCCTCCTCAGCCTTTCGAACCGCTCCTGGCTATTATTCCTGCACTCAGCCTCTTGTATGGGTTTCCCCGCTAGGCACGGGCGAAAGTGACCCCAGTTTGTCCCAGCTGGAGCTTTTTCTTAGCTAATTGTCCCTTGGGGAGCCAGACCGTGCTTCCCCGGATAGGAGAGGCACTGCTTGGCGCTGGTCCCCGCTACACCCGAGACGTTCGCAGACCTTCCGCCTTACGTCTCTGCGCCCTGAACCCGGAAAGTTTACACGTTTTCGTGGGCGGAACGGGGTAGTTTTCGATCTTATTCGACAAACGAGGAGACAATGAGGACAAGTAGCACGCGCGTAAGGAAAGTTTAAGTGCCTAGTGCACCGAGAGGCGCGCGCCCGTGCAAACGCGCGCGCACAGATGCTCGCGGGAGCGGGAGCGCGCGCGGCCCAGAGCCGGCCGAGCGAGGCTTTTCGCTGGGTGCGCGGAGTCCCGCGCGTGTGCTTACCTTCCCGTACAGTTCCATTGCAACCGAGGCTGCGAAATTTCGAGTAGATCTCGCTCCCGGCGAGGTTGAGGGCCGAGAGGGGAAGCGCGCACAATGGAAGACGGGGCGCGGCGGGAGAGCGGGACGTGCAGGGGGCGCCGGGCTCCTTTCCTGCGAGGGAGGCGCGGCTTCCCGAGCGAGCGGCCGCGGGAGAAGGGCTGCGCGTCTGCGAGGAAGCCGGGCCGCTCCCGCCCCGCAGCCCCGCAGGCCCGGGCGGGGGAGCAGGGGGGCCCTGGGCGATGCACCCAGGCAAGCCGCAGAAAATGAACACATTCATCACTGAGGCCGGGGAGCCCCGTCAGGGAATGAGCCGGGAGACCTCTATTAAGTTATCCCGTCCTTTCTTTAGCGCAGAGCCATTCCAAGTACAGTCCCACTTCTAGACTAGTTCCTATGGTGATTTTGAAACCTCTGAGCCAGACTTCTGCTACACTTGGCGTTTCCCGTCGGCGGATGGGTATGGTTGACTTTATGTCCCACCCCCTCCCCCCGAAAACAAACGATGATCATTGATCATCCAGCAATGATCCCTGCCTTGGCTCCAGGTAAATCTCTTACACTGCAGGCGTCGTACAAAAGAGAATGGCAGTCTGTTTGCAGCAAGGCAAAGAAGGAATGACCCGACCTGGATCGGCTTTAAACTTCAGTGCATTAGACAAAGCAGTGGGATGGAGGTTCTGGAACTTACAAGTACCTGTCTTTTGGGAAGGAGGGTTAACATTCCTATTCTCAAAGCAGGAGTGGAGATTGTGCTTGACTAGATCCGATAACAGGTCTGGGTATTGGCATTTAAAAGAAATAAAAATAAAAATAAAAAAACCCACCCCAGCAATTCTGATGCAAGCAGCTTTCAAAATAACTGGAGAAACACTACCTCAGAAGAATCTTTTATGTAAGGATTTTTTAGAGATGTAAACCTTGAAAATTTCACCAAACAGATTCAATAATGCAAAACCAGGTACTCTAACCATCTATTCTAACTGCCCCTTTCATTTGAGCCTTTGTTTGGGTTGCTTTGTTTTGTTGAAATCTAAGCTCTGTCTTCTAATCACACAGATGGTAAGAATGTATTGTGCTATCGTCTAGGTAAATAGGTTATAATTTCTCAGAAAGTTCATTTTAAAGTGTTCACTTCAGAATTGAGGGTTATGTGATGATATTCGAGAAGTTTAACTTAAAATCCCTAATAAAATTAAAAGAAAAAAGAGAAACCTATATCAGTATGTTTTGTTATAGCTGCATCCATCAGAAGTACTGCAATTTTTCATTTAATGCTCTTTTTTTTTCTTTTGGTACCGGACATTGAACTCAGGAATTTGTGCTTGCCAGGCAGGTATTTAAGCCACTGACCTATCTCCCTGGCCCTACATTAATACATACCTAATGGTACTTCTTTTTGTAATGGGTTAACTGAATTTTGTGCTATAACTACGGAAAACTATTGGGTTCGCTTATGCTTCCTGTTATCTACTCTAAGGAATGTGTTCTCGCCCTCTGTTGAAGGCTGTTTAGTAACAAGTAACTATCTCCTTCTCCTCCCTAATCTAATTCCTATAAACACAGTCAGTTTAGGATGTATCTTATAAAAACAGCTTGCTCAACAAGCCCCCGCACAGGCAAGTTGCACATGTCACTGAACTGTGAAAGACCCCTTAGTCATGTGATTTCTTGCTTTAAAAACTCCTTGTTCCCTGGGCTAGGGGCTGCTCAGTCCTCTCCTGCATGAGAACTGACTGATGGCCCTAGGCTCAGTAATAAAGGCTCTTTTAAATTCCAATTTGGATTCTGATCTGGGTTTCTATGCTGAGCTGACCCATAATACTTTTTATCAAAGTTTTTTTTTTTCTGAATAAATGGTGAAATAAGATGGCTGCATGCGTAGAATTATTTGTCATTAATTTTTTATTGTGAAATAAATATGAATGAGACAGTTTCAAAGCTGATTAATAAGACAGTTTCGATGATCAATACATTGTACATTATTATCTTTTTACTGGTTATTCATAGTACAAGAAGCAGATAAGATATCCTGTCCAAACACTATTAGTACCTCTTTCTTCTCATTGAATTAAGTGAAAGTAGCTGTATATCTATCCTATTTTGTATATATAAATACAAAATGATCTTTCCTTTGTATCCTTTTATTTTGTGTGTGTGTGTGT